CGGCTGTACACGTTGGCTTCAGCACGTCATAGAGGAAACAAGTAATTCGATTAATGTTCCACATCTGAATGGAAAATGCAGGCTGAACGCAAAGTCCTTTACTCATTGGTCTTCAGATTAATTAAGTGAGCGTTACTCGACCAGAAACCAAAACTATCGACCAAAAGCACAGAAAGCTCCTAGCCACTCAGCACCATGACTTTCTTTACAAATTGACACCCTTAGCACCCTTTCAGGAATAGCCAAGGGTACCGGTTGTGAGCAGTTTTTACGCTTCGCAAAGGCTACCTTCTTCAGTCAACGTGATACATTGGAACAAAAAGCGCAAACAGAAGAGCACCTTGGTCATCGAATGCATGAGTAATTTCGTGTCCAATCACAGCTCCGATTCCAGCATAATTGAGCGCTCTGCAACTTTCGAGATTCATAGTGTTAGTGTAATCATACTAGCTGCTCCTAATTCCGAATTCCGCGACTCTCGAGTTTCGAGGCATTTGCACCTTTTCAGAGCGAAACGGCTCACCTTGGAAAAGTGTGATGAAAGAAAGGAGCTTGAAGAATAGCGGCTGGAAACTCTGCAATGCGGTAGCATCAAAAAGTGTATGGAACATTCTTCTTTCGACAGAAGGAAGCCATTACTTATCGAATTGGAGAAGAAATCGTAGTGAGCGTTGACGACTGCAGCGTTAAAGTTGTACTCATTTCGATCGACAACTTCGGTTAGGCGTTTTGAAGTCGCGTTCGATGTTCCATCGTGACAGTTTCTCTATCATCTCGCTGTACGAGTCCGTTGCCTCCACGGAGAACTATCAGCAGAAAGTCAAATCATTAGCTGTCAGGCAGGATAATGTAAAAAAAAAGTGGGAAGAATAGCAAATCGTCTTAATATTCCAGCTTGTAGCCCCGTAAAAAATGAAACACCCGCTCCTCCGAAAAAACCACTCACGTTGTAATAGTAATCATCAAGCTTCTTGCTGTCAAGTATGAAATCTGGATAGGCGATTTGACTGAGCATTTTTCGTGCTTTCTCGAAAGCATTCTGAAAAACGCTTCCTCTTCGTAATCAATTCAGTATACTCGATCCTATCCATCTTCACTTTCTGACATATTGCATTTATGATATCTTTATTTGTCATTCGTTTTCCACCTGAAAGAGAAGAGAAGAAAGCCTTTCAACCTTAGCCAAAAAACTTTTTCAACGACTTTTTCTTAGGGACCGAGTCAACTCCTTCCCTCTAGCTCGAAAGGTGATCATAACTTCGCTCCCTCGAAGTACTTTTACTGATACTAGAAGCTCAGAGATTCAGGGTGGCTGAAAAACACGAGAGCCTCCTTTTCAGTATTTCCCTGCATTCGAGCTTCCGAGCCGAAGTCTCGACGTCATCTTAGAAATTGTTGGCATTTCGACGTCTTCGTAGGTTGTGAGTTTCTTAGCTTCTTGTTATTGCGCGACCATTTGTCCCCTGTGAAGGAGTCCAGGAAAGTTGTATGGCTTGAAGCTCTACCCCTGTTTGTCAGTGAAAACTTCACTTTCAAGTGACCAGATGATCACTAGGTAGTGAAAAACTGAAGTCCCACTCACTTACAAAAATGAGGTACGCTATAGATGAGTCTGTGTAGAGTCGATGACAAAGAGTATGAGAATCGTACGTGAGCATCCAATATGTCGTACTAGGTCTCAAAAGCTTCTTGATAGGGGCGTATATCATATAGTTATAGCACAGACTACGTCTTGACCAAAACTGTCACCAAGAAAAAATTACGAGATGTAATAAACGGTTGGTGTGCGTGGAGTAATCGCTGTCGTCGAATAAAGAATAGTATACCATCAAATATAGCAACGGCGATAATTAAATGTAAGCTTGCATGGTTCGGCAGGAAAAAGTAAGAAAGGTCAGATTTACTTTGAAGTGTGGCTGCTTTCAGTAGGTGTCATCTTTCGAACCTTCAGATAAGGACCTTCTCATCAATATTGACGCCAAACTATAAATCTAGGTTTGGGCCTATCAAGGAGAGGCTTTGAAGGCATTGCGGCTGCAAATAGAACATTTCCTAAATGACCCGGACTACGTCATCAAAGGTTTGTCTTTGCAAGGGGGAAATAACCCACTTATTTTTTCGGGTGAGGTATTATAAAAAGGAAGTGGAAGACCACTATAGTTTTGGACACTCACTGACATAAAAATATTGGTGTTCGGACCGATTTGGAATCGGGCTACGTGCGGTGTGCTCCGATTCAGTCGTCTCACATCTAACGTCTTGCGTCGAAGCCGAAGGCGGACACTTCGGTTTTTCTTGTATCTACTAACATACATACATACTGTAGCATATCCAATAGAAAATTCCTTAGCAAAAAAAATGCACATTCGTGAAAGCAGATGATATTTGTAAGCACCCATGCTTTTTTCACCACACTATACACGCTCAGAGAA